TTCTCTTCTAGCCAAGTAATAAAACAACATTTGACGATTACTGGGTAGTTATCGATCTGACCGCTGAGGCCGAACTTCCTGGTATCGTGCAGAATATGGAGTATCATCTATATTCTATTATCTTCTATTCACGGCTGGAATAAGCTTCTGGAATAAGCTAGTCACTACTAGGAAAGTCACACAAGATGCTGCACACGGTCATCGCACCAGACCGTCATGAATAGATGCCGACTACAGGACATACAATATTTAAGCACAGCTTAATACATGTGCAAATGTTTACCAGAGAAAAGAAAATGAACCTTGAATGCATACGTTAAAGTGTGATATAGAAAATAGCAACAACATTGTATGATAGTGCAAAGTTTCAAGAGCGACAACTGTGAAAAATGGTTTTCATGGAACACACTTCCAAGTACGTCATGCGCAAGGAGCTTGCCGGGTACTGACGTAAATATCCACCTCTTACCATGCCGTGTATGCGTAAGCTGCAAAGTCAATTACAGATTTGGCATATAGCTTATCGAACGGCTTAACCTCAACTGTTCAGAAGACCTTTCTTCGGTAGTTCTTGAAAGAGGTTGACGTGATGTGGTTCAGTAATTAGACCAAAGTCCGAAATAGGAATTTCTTTAAATTTCTTTTCACCGCCCTTCAGTAAAATGCAATTTCACAAAGCTGAAGTATTACAAATGTGCAGTATATTAGCTTGTTTCTTACATAACTTCGTCATATCTTGTCATAATTTTAAATAAGTCCACATGCGTTTGCCAACATGTCTAGTGGTAGCGTCAATATAAGATTTGTAAACTTGAGAGCGCAACCATACGTCTGCCTTTGTCTCCTTATTTGATATGAAAATGTACGGCATTGGCCGCTAGCACACTGAATTGAGTGCATTAGATCTCCTACATCCTTGAAATACAATTTAAGCAGGTCCTTGTAGACTTGGAGTCTCCGTGCACTACAGAGAGTATCTCAGTTTTCCCTTTGCATTTGTGATCAGAAGAATGGTTTACTCAATCTAAACATCTACATGGAACTACTGAAAGGCTGAATTGTGTGAACTTACTTCACATTGGTAAAATTATTAAAAACGTTC